ATATGTGCATAATATAGATTGTAATGTTTTGATATGAATATAATTAAATTATGTTTTAAAAAGATCATGCATATTGTTCATAATACCTTGTGTTACTGTAATTTATAAGTATGATTTACTCGCTGAGTTAATTGGAAAATATTTACAGATATTATTTAATATAATTAAAATGAGTAAAAAAGAAGAGAATGTATATTGTAGGCGCGACACACCAGGAGGAAAGATATTTATATCATTTTATATTTTGATGTTTTTGTAGCTCTTTCAATTTATCGGAGATAGTTTTAGCAATTGAATTTAATCAACAGTCGCCTTGTTAGTTTTTTGCATCCGGGCCGGGTTTTGACAATTTTTGTGATAATGATTGTGTTGATAGGATTCTTTAGAACTAGCTTTGTATGAATATGGCTGCACCTCTAATTACAAGGTTCTTTTAACTGTATTGATTGCTAGTTGGAGTGGAGTTTTAAATGTGAGTGTCATCATGAATTTCCTTATTAGCTATTTGTTTTGATGATTTGATTTATGTGGTAACTATGTTTGTAGTGCATTTGATAGCTCAAGATAATTGATTGTGCTAAGTATTAATTAATTCTTTATTAGCCTACATAATAAGATGATTTCTTATTTTCTTTGATAGATACTTAACTCGATTAATTAATGTTAATGAATTACCTTATTGATTTTTGGAACTAAATTAATAGTTAATTAGTAACTAAATATATTATGTTGTGCTAAGTAAAGATAATTATATGTATAATTTTTGGTAAATTTTTTCTGCAAGTTTTTTCACATTGGCAATGGATATTCTTAACTAGAAGAAGTATTCTAATTTATAATCATTCAAGAAGTAATTTAATTAATTATTATCCCAATTATTAGTTAATGAAAACTTATCCTAATTTTGTAGGCAATGTAGTATCACTATTATTAATTTATAGATAACTAATTAGAATTTTTAAATTTTGAATTAGTTAATGCAATGCTAAATGAATTGATATATTTTTTGAAATAGTTATCTCACCCAAATTTCTTGATTAGTTTATGTATTGATGATTGTATAACTAATTAGATAAATTTTTACCCAAATAGTTCTTTGATGGCTTATTCTATCACGACCCGGCCCAAAGACTCGAATTAACGAGGCGAGAACATTCGGTCGGAAGGTTGATTAAATTTTATTTGCTAAAACTATCTCCTATAAGCTGAAATAACCACTATAAACCTCAAAAATTGAAACAAGGTTAATATCATAAATACGTTTCTTCTACTGCGCCGCACCTACGATATACATTATCTTCTATTCTACTTATTTTATGCTTTGAATAATACCTGTTCATTTATAAATTTAAGGGTGAGTCATAAAAAAACTCAATGAGTAAATCATGCTTTTAAATTACAATAACTCATGGCACTTGGACAATATACATGATCATTTCAATGCGTAAAGTAATTTTGCTTATTCATTTAATTTCAAGATTTTCAATGTTATGCATATATCATATTTTTATCCTTATCTTTATTCATATCTTTATCCATTCTTGTAAATAATACAACCGTTGGAACCAAGGTACTCATTTTTTATTTCTTTTTTCCTTTTCGATAACGTTTTACATTTACGTGTACGGGTACATAGTGTCCTCACCTAATATAATAAGGAGGTGTTGATGTAGAATGAAGGGGGGGGGGGGTATGTGAATTTAGAAATTTCAAATTAATTGGAAAAAGGGAGGGAAGGGGTCGGCCAAAGAGAGAGGGAAAGGGGATAGGTTGTCCATGTTCAATGAATGTGGAATTTAAATTGATTCCTAATTAATTTCTGATTTACCCAGTCCTTAATTGAAGGAAGACTTTCCAAAATTAAGCTAAATGATTTAGGAAAGAATTTAAAATTTCAAATTCGTTTTAATTTGAATTCGAAAACTTACCAAAATTAGAACAACTTAATTTAGGAAAGAATAAATTTTAGAGGGAAATGGATTTGATTGAGAGCATTAATTGAGGGGAATTAATTAATATGTGAGGGAAAAGGGGGGCGACCAAAGGAGGAGTGGGAGAGATGTTCACATATGATGTATGTGGCCCAAGGCAGTAAATGAGATTTGATATTAAATATGAAATTGATTTCAGATTTAGAGGAATTAGAGGAAGGCTTCCAAAAGTATATTTGTTAATTTGGAAAGGATTTGAAATTCAAATATCTTTGAATTCCAATTAGGAACTTTTCAAGTTAACAATATAGTAATTTAAAATGGTAATAAAGATGCTATTTTGAATTCAAAATTCAAAATTTGTGGAGGGAAGAGGCTAGGGGTGAGGTGGTCGGCCGGCTATGGAGGTGGAGGGGTTGATGTTTGATCCAAAAGAAAAAAATTAGCGAAAATCAATTGAAATAAAATAAAATCGGATGGTGAATGGTGGAGACTAGAGATGAGAGGACGGAGAACAAAAAAAAAAAAGATACAAATCACGAGCCCGGACTCTTCCTGCGGCTGGTGGATACTACGTTGCCCTCCCCGAGGGACTTCAATCCACGAGCCCGGATCCATCCTGCGGCTGGTGGAAACAAAGTTGTCCTCCCATAGGACTTTTCCTCTCTAGAACTCACATAAATATCAAGACAAAGGCTCAAATTTTTTTTTTATTAATAATCCATCATTATATTACACAAGCAAGGGCCTCTATATATAAGCCTAAGAAACTAAAACAAGACACATATGCCCCTAGGGCTTACATAAGACGACCCTCTTAAGTGGGGAAAAATGAAAAATTCATAATAAAAAAAATTACAAATAAAATTTAAGATAACGTGGGACGATGATGACTATCGATCTTCAGCTCCTCGAATATACATGGACGGTTGGATGTTCGCATCAGATGTGCTCCATCATTCAACATGTAAATGCAATCATTCTACATAAATCAAATCATTTACATTCTTCACATCATTTCATATTTATTTATATAATAAACATCATGTCATAAGATAGATGACATCTTTATGATTTAAAATTCAAATCTCTCAGTTCAACATGATCAATCATTTGTATATGAAAATGACAAAACATGATCTAGCTAAAAAAAAAAAGACTTCATAAGAAGTCATTATCTTTCAAAGCATGTGATTGAATAGAAAACAAAGTCATTATTATAATAAAAGAAACATGAATACTCACCTTGATTTAAATAGATTTTGCTCTTTTTATCTTTGTTCTCGACTTCCATCACCTATAATAGTACATAGTTTCATAAGTTTATTAAATATATTTAAATAGTTCTTATTTTTAAATAATTGAGTTTGTTCTCTCCACTTTATTATTTAAATATAGAAAATCATAATTTTATTAATTTCTAAAATTAACGTACCATATTTAATAAATAAATTCATTTAAGTAACTAATAAAATATACTCTTATTTCTATCAAAGAAAAATAAAATATTTTTAATCTACTCATTTCAAAATACTCAAACATGCGCTCTATCTAATATTTTCTATTAATCTTATAATTTTATTTGATAATAATAATAATAATAATTATTATCAAATAAATTCTATATTAAGATATTTTAATTTAATATTACGAAAATATAAATTTTCTCTCTTCAGCATATATATTCATATATTATCTATTCTTATTTAATTAGATTCATAATATTTAACTAATTAATTATCTAATTAAAATCATATTTAAATATTAAGTTTTTTCTCTTTCTAAATATATGCATATAATTAAATTATAATCTAGATTTAGATAAAATTTTAATAAATTGGAAAACTTACCTCTTACTCTTGAAAGTTCCTTCGAGTTCTAGCCTTTTCATCTGCTCGTCTCGTCCACGCTCGTGCTCTCTCTCTTTCTTTCTCTATTTGCCACATGTTAGCGCTTCTTCTTCTTCCTCTCAATCAACTTCCTCTCGCTCAAAGCCTCTTCTATTCATGCGGTGTAAATGGGGCGAGCGAAACAAACTTATCTCAGACGAAGAGTCGCTGCCTCTCACTCCCGTATGTGATTCTCCACTTAGACCCATGATCCTACCTCGCTAGCCCTTCCCGCGCCCGTTGATATGCTCCTGTGCTCATGCGGCTATTAATAGAGGTCTGTTCCAGTTGAACTGGACGGCCCGGTTCTTACATTCTCCATTTTAATCCTACTTAATTTATTTAGTTATATTAAACCCATTTTATTCCCTAATTAACTTATCCTAATTATATTAAAATTTTAAATTTATATTTGTTAATTATTAATAAGTTTAGTTTAATCATTAATTTTTAGTTTCAATCAATTGGTTAGCCTAACCGAACATTGACTAATGATCCTAATATATTAGTTATTGATTACCCTATATACTTTTAATATATTTAATTCTCATATTAACTTCATATTATTTTACTATTATTAATTATCATATGCAAAGCAAATCTTTTGGTGAGTTCCAATCTCTGCCTAGCAAATCTACTCACATTTATGAGGTATGCTCTAAAAAATTGAGCTCTCTTTCATCCGTTTTCTTTCAAGAAATGCTTGAACTTAGTTCTCTCAACTTTTGTTTTAAATTGCTCCGACTATTCTTTGTTTTTCCTGAATGCCTCCAACATGGATATATGATCATGTCCTTAAAATTCCGACCAGTGTAACGTTTAGGTATTGCTGCAAAATGGTATTATTTTTTCTTTATTGAGCTACGGGAAGGGTGATTGGTGCAAGTGATGGGTCTTTTTTGGTGGTTAGCACTAATGTACTTCAAATACTTTTGGCACTAAATAGTGTGGTATCCTGCTCTGGATGATTGTGAAAATGGCAGAATCTGCACCGTTAATTTCAATGAATCATGGTAGTTTGTTTTAGTGAAGCAAGGCTGGATTTATTTTTATAGAAATATCTCTTGATTACCCAAGATGCTTATCTGGTTATCCATCATCTTTATTGTAATGATTAATTTTTAAGCTCTCGAATCATTTTTGGTTTTTTTCAGCCTCTGATTTATACTTATGATTGCAGAGCACCGACATGTTGGGTCAAATAACTTTAATCTGCTTAGCAGTCGCAGCCATACTATCTTCACCTTGGTAATATCCTTGTTTTTATTTTTGATTGAACAAAGGTGCGTCTGTCTTGTTGCTAGGCTTGTCTATTTAAGAAGTTTTTTCGGCACGTTACAATCGCAGTTGACCAAAGAACTCTGTTCTTTCCATGTTTTTGTTCTCTGGTTTCCTTACATTTCTTGTGATGTTGATGAAATTTGTTTAATCAACTTTAATTTTATGAAAACTCCCCCATGTATTTCCCTGGATGCATCTCTTCAGAATATTAATTAATGCCTTTCACTCTTGCTAGTCATCAATCATTGGAATATGACCTGCAAATTTAAACTTTCAAATATCTGTGCTGGTGTGCAGATCGTGAATTTTATAGTTTATAAGGTGGTTGTTTTGCATTGAGTCAGCCTGGGAGAACGTATGTTAATATACTGAAGAATGTTTGCTGAAAGAATTTTTGAGGACTGCATCATTAAAGCATGTAGATAAAACAACTTAGGCCTGGTGAGTTTGTGCTACTGAGCATGTGATGAAAATTGATTGCATTCATGTAATCTCAGGTTGAAAAGTTTTTTTTTTATGGCACATATGCCCCCTTTTTAGAAAACGAGAGGGTCAACGGCTTTCCCATATATGAATACTTCACGATAGAATGGGTCATCTGGTGCGGGTAATGTATTAAATGTTGGTTGGTTGGGGAATATTGTACCTCTATAATTTGTGATTTAAATTTTAAAAAAATCCCTGTTCACCGTTTCATTTCTTTGCACACCCTCATAAATCCTTTCCTTGATGTCCCAGAATATGCTCCCTCCAATTCTTGTACCTCTCCTACTATCTCTTCTCTCTCTCTCTTCTTCCCTCTGTCTCTCTGCCTAAAGAAAGTAAACGGAGCTAATAACACAATTTTATTTTATTTCCCTTTGAATCTCTCTTTTCTTGTCTCCATCTCTAAATTTGGCCTGCCCCATGTCTTCGTTGATCTTGCTCTGCCGACCAAAGTGCTTTTCCCAAATGCGTTGTAGTTTTGTTTATCTGATAGGAAGTACTTGAGTTCGCAAGTAATCCTATCAGATCTACTTGAGTTCGCAAGCAACCCTAATGCGAAATTGGTAAAAAACAACGAGAATACCCAAGATCGGAGATGAAACAACCAAGAAAATAATAGAACTTGATTAAATACTCAAAGCAAAATAAGCTAGAAGAAAAGATACAATTGATCCTCTATTCGAGAGGAGGATCGTCTCTCCCAAATCTTTAGACAAGAGTTTAGAGCCCAAAACGCCAACGAGACTACAAGAAGACAATAATCAAAGCATGCATTGCCCTAACCCCTCATGCCCTTTAAATAGCCCTCTCCACCTTTAAAAACTTCCTAATATAAGATAGTATTTAATTAATTAAATCAACTTTTCTAATATAAGATAACATTTAATTAATTCAAAAGATATCAAATCTTTTTAATTATTTAAATCCAAACAAATTGGGCGTAGGCCCCTCCCTTAGGCGGTGTAGGAAGGAGGCTGTTTGACCTGCCTCCTGTATACAAGTGCCGGCTCCATCTGGGCCAGCTGAGGTTAAGTCGGTTTCTGGGGAACCGACATATCAATACCGCCCTCCCAAAGAATCACCTTGTCCTCAAGGTGAAAACAAGAGAACTGCTGTTTTATCCTCTCATTTTAATATAAAGAACATATATCTAATTTCACTCGGATTTAAAGTTAAAAATCGACGAATGTTTTCTTAAGTATAAATTATCTTGATATCCCTCATGACTCTTAAGAGGGGTTTTAGGCCTAAGGGTACATGCGTCAATTATTCTCCCATTTCCCTTAAAGCCTCAAAGGACCGAAATATTTAGTCCTTTCTTGAGTTCGGCTGAAACTGAAAGGGGGCGAACGAACTAGAGAGGGGAGGCGTCGGCTTGGAGCTTTGGCGGTGGCGGCGGCAACGGCGGTTTTCCGGCGGCCTCCTTGGGGGAAATTCAAGAGGAAGATTAGGGGAAGCTTAAGGTATGTTTTACCTAAGGGATTTATCATTCTCCTTGTTGATTTCTTTAGGAGAGATTTTAGGGTTTTGCTAAAAACTTGGAAATTTTTAAATGAAAGTGATAGGGGTGTTAGGGAAATGATTTTAATCACAAAAAATAAACTTTTCCCAAATTCTGGTAAGATTTCAAAATTAGGATTTCTTCCAATTTCCTTTTTCTTTCAAAGGGCTTTATTAAAAGTGATCCCTATTCAGATATTAGAAGGCTTCTTGTGGAATTTAATTAAAATTTTATGATCAATTTTCAAGTTCTAAAAATTAAGGTTTTTCTAATCATGAAAAATTCTTAAGTATTATTGTTTCAAATAGACCTAGGAAGAGTTTTAATGGTGAAAATTAGGGGTTTTGCACAAATTTTTATTTTTCTAATTTGTAATTTAAAAAATTCGAAAATAATTATATTTTAAATACTAATTAAGTGTTGGGGAGGTTTTTACGTGCATATATCATGAAATGAATAAAAAGGTATCCGAAAATTAGAATTTTGAGTTAATCAGAAAATAAAAAGTAAATTAAATTAATTTTGAAATGATTTTAACGAAACATATATTTAGGTTTTTATAAATTAGGGATTAAGGAAATATGTGACGGAAGCATGTGACAATCAATGTTATATATTTTTTTTAGGTCTCGATAGGAAAAACGACGAGTTTTACACAACGTTGAGGTAAGTAAAATGTGATTCTTTTTCAGATAATTCTTCTCTTTTCAAATGTTAGCATGCTTTTTTTGATATCATGTGATTAGCCTAGCATGCTTTTAAATGCAAATGTACATTTCTCATATAGATAGCTTAGCATGTTCTTAAATATCATGTATCTTGCTCATTTGTACAACCTAGTATGCCTTTAAATATAATGTTGCCAATTGTGTCTTCATCATATGATCATTGTGGATAGTTTACAAAGCTTATGTCTCCTTTAATAAATATTCATGTAGAAAAATATAGGAGTATTATAATATATGTACGAATAATATGTTAATATCCCTCTATGAATACATATTGAATGATTAAATGTGTATGTTGATGCAGAATATCAAACGTTAAAAAGCTCTTCGGAGCAAATGTAAAGTGCTCTTTGAAGAAAATGATAAAGAAATGACCAATTGAAAGTGTACCTGCCTGATCAGTATAAAACAAAATGATACTTCTGAGACGGGTTTATAAGAATATGTTATTATGTTATAAGCATAAAAAGTATCAAATGAATCATGAAAATGTATAAGGTAAAATGTTTCAGATTTATGCAAAGAAAGAGAACATAAAGAATGACTTAGAGACGTACGTACTCTAGTTAATATATCATGACAAGTTTTTTGTTCTTTTAATTAGAAGTATTGGCATGCATGTTGTACTCTTTATCTTGCTACTGAATTTAATTGAATAACATTTTACCTACTGAGTTGTGACTCACCCAAATTATGAAAAATTTTTAGGAGAACTTGTTTATCGTTAATGACGAATATACAGTCATATACTTACCGTCGTAGGGAGACGACGGGTGATAGGTTTCTTTTTTTGGTATTTTGATATTTTGTATTTAGATGGATGCGCAAGATAGCATGTAATAAGTAGACTTTTGGATATCTATTTATGTAATGAACTTTTATGTACATGTTGATTTTAGAATATAAAAAAAAGAAAAAATATTTACTTAAAATCTTTAGTGGCTCTTTCTCTATGTTTGGATTTGCTTTAAATATATTACTTGAAATGTTTTGAATTTTATCCTTTAAACTTTTGTTCCTGTCTCGCCTATGCGAGCTTGTCGGGCCAGGTCGTGACAAGAGTGATATCATAGCCAAATGTTTTAACATATTAATCAATATAAAAGAGACAATAGAATTATTGTATATGTTAGAGAAGGTATAAGATACATATGTTATAAACTACATAATATATTTTATTGTGTTATCCCTCAAGGCCATGGATTCTGAACATGCTGCCACTGATGATAATACGGGAGAAATTAGGAGGAAACTACTAGCCGTAGCAGAGTCTCTGAATAGTAGCATCAAAGCTATAATGTAACATTTTACTTAAATGATAACTGCAATGACCTAGATGATCAAGAACTCCTAGACTCAGGTCGGTGGTAGTGAGAGTACTTTCATGGATAAATACTTGAAGCTGTTTCAAGATATGAAACCACATTTGTTCATAAGTGATGGACTCATAGAGGCAGAAGATTGACTGATGAGAATTTTTCATACCCTCCAAAATCGCAAGACACCCTCCAAAATATTCTCTATTCTCATCAGCTAATCTTCACCCTCTATGAGTCCACCACTTGTGAACAAAAGAGACTTCATTTCTTGGAATAACTTCAAGTTTTTATTCATAGGAGTACTCGCACTACCACCGACCTGGGTCTGGGTGTTATTGATCATCTGAGTTATTGCAATCATCATTTGAGTAAATGATTCCATTGTAGCATTGATGCTACCACTAGGAGGCTCTGCTACGGCTGGTAGCTCCCTCCTAATTTCTCTCGTATTTTTATCAGTGACATCATTTTCAGGATCCATGGTCCTCAGAGATAACACAGTAAAATAAATTAAGTAGTTTATAATATATGCATCCTATACCTTATCTAATCTATAAAATCATTCTATTGGCTCTTTCATATTGATCAATACGTTAAAACCTTTGGCTTTGATATCACTTTTGTCACGACGCGACCTAATAAGCTTGCATAGGCGAGGCGTTAACAAAAGTTAGACGATAAAATTTAAAAATATTTCAAGTAATATATATAAAACATATCCAAATATAGAGAAAGAATCACTGAAGATTTCAATTTTTTTCTTTCCTTCAAAAAGATCAACATGTACATAAAGGTTTATTACGTAGATGGATGTCCAAAAATTTACCTAACACATGCTATTCGGCGTATCCATCTAATACAAAATATTAAAATACCAAAAAGGAACCTGTCACCCATCATCTCCCTAATATGGTAAATATACAGCTGTCTATC